CTGTTGGTAAAAAGTTAAAACAAACACCAACTAAAGCTGGTGCATGTATGTTCGTCTCTTTCTTATTTTGATAAAGTACAGTTTTAATTATTGAGGTTAAAGCCAACTATAGTCCCTTTATTTTTAATTTCTGTTCATTATCTTTCCATGTACTTACAAATCATTGAAAATTCTCCATCTACTCTTTCAAATCATACTGTTATATTCCCTCTACTTTAATTTTTCATAACATTTATCTCCCTCACCTAACATCATTTATCTCTCCCCTAATATCTTTAAATGCAATAGTTTATGTTTCTTTGTTTCATTGTTTTTGTGATCCCATAAAATTTCATGGTATTTTTCTGATGGTGCTACGTGTTTCATCAACGAAAATAAAAAATTATTGCTCCCATCAAAATTCGTACTTCCTCTCTTTTCTACCTTCAAAATTATTATTAACAGTATCCTCTTGCACAAATAATTACATATTTTAGTATTGGCTTTTAGAGAAAAAATAGCCACTTGCAATACTTTAAATAAGAGTCGCTTGGGACAAAAAACATTAGACTTGTTTCTTTTAAATTTAAAAATAAAGAATTTTATATAATTGAAAGCAACATTAATAATTTTGTTGACTCAATGCACTTCAAGAGGGAATGAATTGGAGTTCAAAAATTTCTTCCTTTTGTAACTACAAATTAAAAAACCAAGAGACAAGGGAGGAAAGCTTGTATAAAGATTTTATAGAGGTTCAATCCAAAAAGCTTGCACAAAGATTTTATAGAGATTCAATCCAACCACTTTGCACTTAATCCTCTACCTTGACTTGACTCATCAAGGATTACCTTCACACTCTCCACTAATGCTCAAGAGTAGAAAAAAAAAAGCTACCCAATCCTTAAAAAAAAAAAAAAGGTTTTACTCAATTTCACCCCTTTTCAATCTAACCCAACAAACATCACTATTAAGCCGCTCTTAAAGGAATAGATCACACCCCCAAGAAGCCACTCACAAAATAAGATTACAAAATTGCAAGACAAGATCACTTAATAATCAAATATGCAAGTATAAGTATAAAGAATTGAATGTTTGCAAGAGAAACCTCAAGTGGGTTGTTGAAATTCTTCATTGAAGTCTCTAAGAAGTTCATAAGTGTGTCCAACAACCCTATTTATCTTTCTCAAGTCAAAAATAGCCATTTGGGAATGTTAGATTGCATTAAATGCTTTGTAGACTAGTCAAATTCAAAAAATTAACTGTTACTGTATAGTTAAGATTCAAATATAGCTTCCAAGAATCAAATCTTTAAAGTTTAGATTTTTAAAGATTTCACTCTTCAACCTAAGAGTTTAATCGTTAAGAAATTTTGGCAATTGGTTTGAAATGCCTCATTTAACTCAAAAGTCAAATAGAGGAACCAAGATTCAAATATCTTCCCTAAAGATTTGAATCTTCATGTGAAGATTCGAATCTGCCATTTGCCTTTACAAGTCTTAGCACTTTCTATTTCTTGAGTTGAATCTTTAATTGCTGACAGTCGAATCTTCGAGACCCAAGAGTTGAATATGCATATTAAGAGTTGACTCTTCTGTTGTTTATGCCTTTTGCTTTATTTCAACTTGAAAGTCTAATGTTTGAATAAAGAATCGAATCTATTTGCTTCAAAGTACGAATGTAGAACCCTATAGTCAAATGTTCATCCATTTCCTGCAATTTTTTAAGTTTTAAATGGAACCATATTAGAGTTGTTCAACTACACACTTAAAGTCAAATTCATTAAATATTACAAAGAGTTTTGTTATCATCAAAATCATTTGGAGTTCAAAAAATTCATCAAATTCTAAAGTCAAACTACCATATTCATATCCTACTATGCCAAAATTTATATATAAGAATAAAAAATTTAAAAGGAAAATTAAATTAAAATCAAAACCTACTTCTTGCAAGCCAAATTCAAAATCCTCCAACACACATTCTCCAATTAATCTTGTATTTTTATCAAGTGGACTTTGGCCTAACAAGTACAAACACAAAATCACATAAAAAACAAAAACAAAGTGATCTAAATCAGAATTAGATTAACAGTGATAAAAGATTGTACTTGAAGCCAAGAGCGATGTAGATTGCTCTAATCGAAGCCAATGATAACCTCCTCAATAAAGTTGTGAGTGGGATTGAAATGTCTCCTCTCTCGGAGTAACAATGAGTATTGTATGGACTTTTTATGTGTACAAGTATAGATTTTTTATTTTATCTTCTTTTTTACTTTTTTATTTTTATGTATAAATTTTGGTATAGCAGAATATGAATATAGTTATCTGAGTTTGGATTTTGATGAATTATTAATGGTGTTTTCAATTACACAACGTTATTTATGTTCAAATTTAAAAGAAAAAAAGTGTGATGTTTTTTGTCCCCTACAACTTTTGTTTAAACTATTGCAAGTGGATGATTTTTTTTTTTTTCAATAAAATTTAGGACTAAAATATATAATTGATTGTGCAAGAGAATACTGTTAGTTTTGAAGGCAAAAAAAGTGCGAGTACGAAATCAATGGGAGCGGAAATTTTTTGTTTACATCAGTAGAACACTGGCATCATCAACAAAATAACCTATGGAATTTTGTGGGTCCACAAAAACAATGCAAAAATAAATAAATAAACTATTGCATTTAATAGTGTTATAAACGTTTTTAGGGAAGGGAGGTAATGCTGGTAGGGGAGAGAGAGGACAACAGAATGGTTTGGAAGAGTAGAGAGGGAGGATTTTGATGATTTGTAAATACAAAGAG